GGGTGTTTCGGTGGGATCTGATAAGGTGCTGGAAGCGGAGGGGAGGCCTGTGGCGCTCAGCCAGCGCGTTCGGTCCTTGCAGCAGCAGTGTCGGGGCCTTACAGGCGCTGTGCTTCTAGGCGAACTTTAGGAGCAGGCCCTTGTGCCCCGGCGGGGTTGTCCCTCAGCTTCGGTGCTTCCCCCACACACCACCCCAACTGTCCGTGGGCTGCCACTGGTTGGGAATAGATCCGAGCTTAAAATAGCTGTGTTAGCTGCTTGGTTAGTTTTAACGTCCATTTCATAATGCAGCTCATGAGGCATCTGGACAAGTGCTACACTTAAAGCGGAGGCAGGTGCAGAAGTAAGCATTTCACAAGGAATGAGCAAGGCCATTTCATTTAGCCTTGGGCTACACCAACTGGGGGTGTGTGAGAGCCAAAAAGCTTGCAGACCTGAATACCAGCAGCAGCCTTTCCTATTCATGTGGCGTCTTGAGCAAGTAGATTGATATCATCAAGGAAGCTCCTTCAAACAAAAACAGCAGCGGGTGCCCCTCCTTGTCTTGGGATCTAGGTTTTTGTGAGTCATTTAAAGTCTTAGCAGTGTCAAAGTTGGTGCCAACTTTCCACACAGAAGCATTTTGTTTAAGTGTCAGGGAATTACTGACAGAGGAAGTGCTCTGTATTTTTGACACTACAGAACATTTTAGTGAGTGATTTGATATATAAGTAGAATAAACAAAACAAGTGAGCTCCTGATCACTTATGCCATTTAATTTTTAAGGCTGTTATCCTGGATGCTTGGTAATAACTTTAGAGCTGTGATGACAGAGCTGGAAGGGGACAAATGCCAAATAGAAAAAAAAACTCAGTGCTCTGTTATATCTGAGTACGTCCCCAGAGAACTACAGACCCAGTTCTTTGGCATCACTGATATCTTCAGGATCCCACTTCTGCATGACTGCAGAGACACAAAGCCTCAGCCTGCGGATGTGCCCCATGGTGCCAGCACTCAAGAGATCCCTGCAGCTGAGAAGATGGTGAGCAGCTCACACAATCTCCTGACTCTCGGGTAAGGCCTGCCTGCTCATGTCACCGGCAGGATTCAGTCCAGGAGCACAATCACAGCCTGCCAGCCTGACCTCATCCTCAGTTCTTTTAACCCCAGTTGTCAGGTTTCTTAAGAGCCTTTCTCTGTCACACCTTACAATGGTTAATAAATAAACTATTAGAAGACATTAATAAGAAACCCTTTTTGCCTTGCCCATTGCCACTTAAGCCAGATGGTACAGGTCTTTGGCTGGTACTGTTTGTTTGATTTTGATATCAGTAATTAGACACACCTCTCAATAGAGCAGGACAATTTTTTTTCTTGGATGGTTCTGAGGTAAATTATCATGTTTGTGGCACCAGCACCTGAATAATACTTTTAGTAAGACACAGATATGAGAAAAGCTAAAAATTCATGAGCTCAGAGTAACAGTAATGTATGCGGTATTCCTATTCCATTATATACCAACTGAAGACAAATTCATTGTAAATGCCTGGTTTTCGCTGAGTTTGTTGGCAGGCTGAATTTTTTTTAGGACTTCCACTCTGGTTTTCAACCCCTTAAATTCCTCTCCAAAGTGAACATTTTAGAACTTAAGTCCTTCCTGCAGTTTATCACTGTCAGTGAATATCTTGGTAAACGTGTGTGAAAATCTTCTGGTCACTGATGGTGCCTGATCAGTATTTGCTCAACCCACTGCCCTTTTTCTCTGGTGTGGGTGTATCTCCAAATACTGTTCTGAATTCTTGTGGTTGTGGTTAAGCTTCCTGCGAGTTCTCTGTCTCACACAGGTTTACCAGGGATGAGCAGAGTTGAACAGGGGTGCCAGGTACCACTACCACTGCATGAGCTATTTCATGGCTCATAACAGTGCTGCAGTCAAGGTGAAGGCATTCATTCTGTTAACTCTGATGTAGTTCACAAGCTGTGTTTCTCTGTCATGCAGAAATCCAGGTGCCTGTCTCTCCAGCAAAAGTTCTGCCTCTTCTTGCAGACAAAGCACCATCCCTCTGCCCAGCCATGTGGGCACGCTGCTACCGCAAATATCCTCTGCAAAAAGCGCAAAGCTTAGGTTCACTTAGTTCTTGCCCGTTACCACCTTGGTCCTTCATTATTCCACTTCACTAGACTGAAGATTCTAATTGCCTCTTCCATTTAGCCTCAGTTACAACCCATCAGCTTTAACCAATTCTCAAAGCCTAACACCCATCCCTTGGTTTTGCATCCTGCTGGCAAAAGAAGGAAGAAATAGGTAGAGGCAAACTCCAGATACCAAGAAATGCCCCTGTCTCATTGCTTGGGTATGTCACCCACAGGAGTATGATCCTCAGGTCTTTGCGGGGAGTCAGTCCTGTTATTTATAAAGCTGAAAAGTACCATACAATCCTTAAATTTCATTAATTATACAAGCTTTTAAACTCCCAGCAGATAAGCTAGGTCAATCAAATTGCTCAGTGGGAGTGGCACATGGTTTTCCTACTGATAGCCTGTTTGCTGTTTAGATAGAGTATTTGCATGCACAGCACAATACAGTATGACTCGATCTGCTGTTTGTTTAAAATCCTTAATGAGTTGTGCCTTCTGGGCTGCTGTATTTCCCTCACAACCAGTAAAAGCAATAGGATTACCAGTCTGTATTTGAGTTTATGAGTGCCCTCCAACCTGACAGATTCCAGAGAAACCCTGCAGTTGCTTTCTCTCCAACTTTAGTATTTTCTTTCATGTCAGTTGGGATGCCTTTATTCCCAAAAATACTATGAAAGAAGTGGGTAGTTCCCAGCTCAGTAAAAGCTTTGAAGATGCCCTTGAGACAGTATGTTACCACAAAGCATTGAATTCGGGATTAAATTCTTCATACTCACATTTGATTTTTACATTGCATGTGTTTGAACACCATAATCGAAGCTGATAATTTATTTTTAAGTGTGTTTGAAAGGTAGTGAGGTCTTTCAGGAAAGTACTGACTGTCAAACTATTTAAAACCTAGAATTATTACTGCACTTCCAGTAATGCTGTGATTTGCTTACTGTTTAGATAATCACATAGATATTTTTGTTTTCCCCTGAACTCTGCTATAAATTCAAGTGTGCTTGTTTTCTTCTCTTATTTTTCTTTGGGTGTCCTACCTGAGGTCTAAAGTGGGACCTTGGCCAGCTGCCAGTTGCCCACCAAGCTCTCTCCCTCCCTGTCCTCTAAAGGACAGGAGAAGAAAATAAGATGAAAAGTCTCATGAGTTGAGATAAAGACAGGGAGATTGTTCACCAGTGCAAAACAGGCTTGACTTAGGGAAATTAATTTACTTTATTGCCAATTAAAAATAGAGTAGGATAGCGAGAAACAAAGACAAAACTAAAATCACCTTCTTCCCAGGCTCAACATCATTCCCAACTTTTCTACCTCCTCCCCCTGAGCAGCAAAGGGGGATGGGGAATGGGGGTTACACTCAGTTCATAATACTTTGTCTCTCTTGCTCCTTCCTCCCCATGTTCTTCACCTGTTCCAGCATGGGTCCCCCATAGGATCACTGCTCCTGCCAGAAAACCTGCTCCTGCATGGGCTCCTCTCCACAGGCCACCTTTCCCTGCCAGGAGCCTGCTCCAGTATGGGTTCTCCATGGCCTGCAGCTTCCCTTAGGGCAGCTTCTACAGCATGGGCTCCTCCCCGGGCTGCAGGTGTATCTCTGCTTCCCCATTACCTCCATGGCTGCAGGGGCACAGCTGCCTCACCATGGCCTTCACCACAGGCTGCAGGGGAACCTCTGCTCCAGCGCCTGGAGCACCTCCTGCCCTCCTTCTGCACTGACCATGAGGAAGGGTGAAGGAGGGGTGCTTCTCTCACATTTTTCTCATTCTTCTCTCACAGCTGCTGTGCAGCATTTTTTACCCTTTCTTAAATAAGTTATCACAGAGGTACCACCAGCGTCACTGATGGGGCTCAGCTGTGTGTGTCCATTTTGGAGTCAGCTGGCACTGGCTCTGTCTGGCATGGGGCCAACTGCTGGCCTCTTCTCACAGAGGCCACCCGTGCAACCCCCCCACTGCCAAAACATTGCCACGTAAACCCAATAAAAGCAGTGAGAATCTGTTTGAAATATTTAGTAGAAGCTGAGGGTTCTTAATGACTTACTAAATATAAATCCCATCAGATTCAATATAAATTCTTCAGAGGAAGCATCCTTCCTTCTAAAATGTTTGGAAAGCTTGTGTTGGGTACTACCATGGCTATGTGTTTTAAATCATTGTAATAGCAATTAGATAAAACAGTATGCATAATCTCAAGGTTTATATTGTGAAATCCAGATTTTTTTTTGATAAATCAGCCAGCTCCATGACCCAACAGGGTGTGATATTAGATAGTAGAGATAATAAAGCCACCATGTAATGATGAATAGACCACACCTTGAAATAACTAGAATTTAAATAATGTCAGAAGTTATTGATTAACCCAGGGTTGGGTAGGATTTAGCTGCTCTAGTAAAAGTTGACTATTCCATCTGAATGCTTGTTTTACTGAAGAGCAGAAAAGGTGCATCTTCCACACTCAGACTAAGCAAAAATGGGCAGTTCACATGTAAGTACTTATTTAATTTGGATTATCAAGAATGCAGCAATTTCCTGTTTTTATTCTTGTCAATTTTAACTTTAAATGGTATTCAAACAGCTGCAAATGAAGATTTAACCTCAAAATCTGCTTTAAGTGTGAGGGGGAAACTTGCATATAGCTGGTAACATCACTTAACTGCAGTACATGAATAATGAAACTATTACTATAACACACAGGTTCTGAGTGTTTTAATACTTGTGGCTTACTTTAAAAGGGTAGAGAAAGAAATTATGCATAGGATGTCATGGGAAGACTAATTTCAGTTAGCAAATTTGCGTTGGAACATTCTGAACACTAAAATAATTCCCCGAAGATCTATGAAAAACATCCTGTCCCAAAGGCCAAATGCTTCAAAATTTAGCTAAATTTATCACTGAGTAGTAGAGCAGGAGTAGTCTCAAAGTGTGGTGCTCACAAAAAGGCCTGATTAAAATGCAGGTGTCAGGATTTACTATATCAAATTACTGTATGAGTTTTGAGTGAGACAATTTTGGCTAACATTTGGGTGTTTAATAATAAATATCTAAATCCACATAAAGATATTTAGCCTCAAAATAACCTGATTGTCAAAAGTTTGTGTGGTAGCTGTGAATGGTCGGTGCTTCTGAAGGTTAGGTAGCTTGTGCTGCAGAAGTTGGGTTTTTTTAGCTCCAGCTTTAAAATTAATGAATAAAAGGCAGTATTTCTTCAGCAGCGCGTTTTCTCCTCGAATGCTGAAATCCTGCAGTTTTGCAGTATGCATCAACAGAAGACAAGCTGTTTGCTGATACAGGCTATTGTTACATTAGGTTCTCTAAGACTGATATTCTTTTATTACATGACTATTTTTTTAAATTCAACTTCAGCAAGGCCTTGAGAGATGCCAAACATCTGCTGCCTTTGGACTAGCTCTCCAGGACATTTTCTTTGCCAGACTGAGCAAGAGAGCTCGTACCTTTCATGCAAAGCTCCAGCTACTAACCAAGGAGCATTTTGTCTCCGTGGCTCTGGGCAATCTGATCTAGTGGAAGGTGTCCCTGCTTGTTGCAGAGGGGTTGGACTAGCTGACCTCCATGGTCCCTTCCAACTCAAACTATTCTATGGTTCTATGATTCAGCCCCATGACTCAACTGGGAATTGCATCATTCTGTATTTGTCCCCAGGAAATTACAGGTTATCTTGGAGAAATGCCTGCATCTGTATCAGAGAACCACTTCTGGAACAGCATGAGCTTTTCAGCTGCAATTTTTTCTTTCTCCTAATCTCATGTTTCACAACCATAGGTTCATGAGCGTCTTATGTATTGTGTTTTTCAAACCCCCAGAGCAAGTCTTACGAACTCACAGAGGATATACGGGAACCAACCATAGGGACTACCAGTTTGGCAGCAGATGAGCCAGTAAGCACTTCTTTTATGAAGGATGCAATGGGCACCGTGGTGTTCCAGCACATGCTGCTGTGGTTTATGGTGGTTTATGGTGGTTTCTGGTGGCTGTGGGAGGCACTGCAGTGCACAAAGGTGACTCCTCTTTCATAGTCAAGACTGGCTCTGGAAATCTGGGTATAACTGGGTTGTTTCATTCTGTTGGGTACTGCATCTTCCCAAAATTTTGTCTGCTTTGAAATTTCAGAAATGAAATTTTTTTGAACACCCCAAATTCTGCTGGGAGAAGTATGAAATTAATTGTCTGTGTCAAATGAGGTATATTATTTGGTTAAATGGATTTTTAGGTTTTAAAACTTTTTAAAAATTCATTATTAAATGAAGTTTTCACTGAAACCTGAGCTTGTTCAGAGAAAAAGTTCCATTACATGGATATTTAAATGGAAGTTTTCAGCTATATCAAAATGTCTCACTTTCAAATGAAGCTTTTGTCAAAATTAATATTTTCCTGAACATGATAATTTAAACAAAAGTAACAAATTTTACTGAAAAATATGCTTTCAACAAAAAAATTCCATCTAGCTCTAAAGTGTACCTTTCTCTTAGAAACTGAGCTCTCAATTAAGATCTACACCTGATGCAACATTACAGCTCCAAATCTTCATATTTTCACATGCTTTTTCCTGTCTGAACTGAATCTGGTCCCTTTTTCTACAATCAAAAATTTTAACTGCACATCCGTAGAGATTCAAAGTTCTGAATTATTTTCTCTGTTTGCAGTCTTGAATCAAGCTTATCTGTGCTTCTGCTGTCTTCAAAATTACGAGTACAATCAATCCATTTGAAAATCTGGGTAGCTGCTCTGCTGTAAGCACCGTGTTTTGAGGACATTTTGCAAATAGCAGCAATGGTTTTAACAATATGATGGTTTGAAAAGTTTGATGGATCCTGACTTTTGTGAAATTGTGCAATTGTTTTTTAAACTTCTGTGTCTTGAGAATACAAGAAGACTCTTTATGCATTATTCTGTTGTTGTCTGTGATGGTTTTGGCTTGACTTACGCTGGGGGCTGGAGGAGTTCTTTATTTTTAATTCAGACCACTTTTTGAGATTCTCTGGGATGCCCTTGAGTTTCATCTTCTCCATGTAAAACAGCCCAACCCTTCTGCCAGGGAGGACTCTATAATGTATGAAGGGGGTGGCCGGTTGTCATGGGCCAGATGGTTTGAGAACTTGAAGGTAAAAAAGTAAGTATAACCTGGAGAACATATCTGCCTGAGGAGTCCTTTTGGGGATAAGCTCACAAACATCACAAGGACCTCTGTGTCGCCTATGGACATTTCTATCCTTGTAGAAATGTTTCCTTAGTAAACGTATGACTTACCACTGTGTGATTTTATTATCTCATCACCAAGCTCAACAATTTCTATTTGTTGCTTCCCTGGCAGACTGATATTCAGTGGCAGTCAATTCTTGTTCAGTCGCTGGCTGTGAGCCCTCAGTCAGCAGACGACAGAAATTCCGTCTTGTTCAGCCACCCAACACGGATGAAGAGCTGTGGCAGATTATTTTCATTTCCATGGTCTGCTTTTATCCAGGATATTTGCTTTTCCTTTTAGGTCTGAAGCTGTCCTGTGAGTGCAGCTGTGGTAGGTGTTAACAATCTACCCATGAAAAAATTATGTTGTGTTTGTGGCAAAAAAATAACCCATCTGAAGTATCAAAGGGTCATTACATTTATGTTTTACATAATGTAAACAGGTCAAACAATTACTTTTTATAAAAATGTAAAAAATTCTAAAATACCTGGACTCTAATGCTCTTCTTTGTATACAACAGTTCAAGTGTATTCTAACAAGTTCTGTTGTTACTATCCAGAAAAATTGCTCTGCTTCTGTTGTTAACTGTGGCTGCTGACGGAAGCAATGGCTGACCTGGGAGTATCTTGAGACTTCTCCCACCCTGTGAGGTGGAAAGGAGTTAGACACAGAAACCTCCAAGTTCAGTTGACACACTTGGTTTGTCAGACATTAAACATGCAATATCTGTAGAGTAACAGCCCTTCTATGTGTCTATGAATGTATAGATGGTGTTTAGATAATGCATCTTGCAGAGGAATGTTTTAAAAAGAAAGAAGAGATCAAGGGGAGAAGCATGTAATCTTGGGGCTTGGGGCAACATCTTTCAAGTTCTTCTCCTTTTAAATAATTGAGCTTTAAAGTACATGAAAGAGTCAGCGTGATGTTCCCAAAGATTGTGTCCACATATTTCAACCCTGCATAGATATACTGAAGTCGTGTTAGCTTTCGTGCTGGCATACACAAGAATTTACTTCACTTCCATCAACGTTAACTTAGCAGAACTCATCACAAGTCTTAGTTGAGGTAATGAGTGTAATTTTTTTAATATGACATAAGAACACTTGAGCTATCTCAGTATCAGTATGCAAGTCAGAGATGGTATCTCAGCTGAAAAAGAGGCAGAATATGCCATTTCCAGTCATTTTAGTTGTCATTATCCCTAATGGCCCAGCATAGAAAGTGTTTTTCAAACAGATGTTATGGTCAATAAAATAAAAGCAGACAAGTCTACCCCCAGTGTAACAGAGAATTATTCCAGACTTGAAATTCTAGATTTGTCCTAGGTGAATAAAGACATTGTTTTGCCCTTTTTTTTTTTTTTTTTTTTTTTTGGTGGCTTCGATTTGCAAGATAAGTATTAAAAGGAAATGATGTGAGGCATGACTCATGACTGAACCCAAGCACAGTGTCCCTGGAGATTTCTAGCATCCTTTGCTGCCTTGGGTTCAGCTGCTGCACCAGGGGAGTCGGGTCCCTGTCGGACCTGTGTCACCTCTGCCAGCCCCATGCAGGTACTGGGTGCTCTGGCACAGCTCAAAGATGTCTGTGTTTAAGCATCTGAATTGAGCCCTCTAGAAATAAAGCTGCAGTTTTATCATTCCCACTGCATGGTACGCTGGGAGCTAACTCTGATTTTAAAAGTAATCTGTGTTGAGGAATTCCACCAGCCACCAGAAGGTGTGGACACATTAAAACTGGAAAGTGTAAAATTCAGCCATGAGAGAGCCCCCAAAATGTGTTTTTTTCTTTTATTGTGGACTTCACTATCACAGTGATGAGCATGAATAAATAGAGTGGATAAAAAATGAGCCATAAGTGATTATGAGATGATACTTAGATATTTAGAAACAGGAGAGACATTGTAGGCAGTAGATGGTTTTAATTTTGCAGTTTAAATAACTGTCAGAGCAATTACCTTCACTGTTGCTACTTGTTTGTAATAGGAAAAAGTAAATGCAACTAATAGGATTTTCTTGTCACTATAGTTTTAGTCTTAGAAAATAAGGTTATTTGCGCCTCTCAGTTTGGGAGGAGTCACTGAATCATTGCCAAGGCTGTTGAGTACTGAAATCTAGTCAACATGAGTAACATACAGTCATTATCCATTGTATTGTACTTCATATAGAAATTTTGTCCCTGACAGCAACAACCTGTCAGCAACAAGCTAGCCTGACAGTGCGTGTTGCTGTTATACAGCTGTTAGACCTAAAACAGCCATAAGGATTTGGGAGAGTGGCAGCCTG